GCATTAGATGATGTTGTCCCTTTAAAAAAGAAGGTAATTATGCACAAGTTGGCTCCCTGGTTTAATTCTCATTTATGAACTTTAAAACAAAACTCTAGAAAATTGGAGAGAACATGGCGCTCTACGCACCAGGAGTCCTAACTATCCTGGAAAAATAGTCTTGTGCTTTATAAAAATAAGCTTCGACAAACTAGAACTGCTTACTTTTCATCGCTAATTGAGGAGAATAAGAGAATAATCCTAAATTTATTTTAGGTACAGTTGCCAAACTTACACAGAATCATAGCTCTGAGCCATCTATTCCCTTAGCAACAACGACTTTATGGGATTTTTCACGAGTAAAATTAATTATTTTAGAAACAAAATAATTCACATCCTCCCTAATGCGATTTCTTCTTCCGCCGTAAGTGAGGCAGCATCAGAGGTAACTGTAGAACCTCATTTGTGTTTGAACCGTTTTGATCCAGTTGAGCTTTCAGATTTATCAAAAATATTAGCTTCATCTAAACCTTCAACTTGCATTTTGGATCCAATCCCAACCAAATTATTTAAAGATGCATTTCCTTTGGTTACTGCCCCCATTCTAGATATAATAAATCTATCCTTAGTAAATGGATATGTACCACAGGGATTTTAAGGTTGCTGTAATCAAACCTTCACTTAAGAAGCCTTCTCTGCATCCAGATGACCCAATGAATTATAGACCCAATATCTAACCTTCCATTTTTATCCAAAGTCCTGGAGAAAATACAGGTGCTGGCCAGTAAATTAGAATATCATCAAAAGGTTGAAAATATTTCAGTAATTCCATTCAAAACGTGAAACTTGTACATTATATTCATGCAATGCACACAGACCAATGTATTTCCAATGTTCATTACATTTAAATTTGATATTCATAAGTGACAACTAATGAAAACTCCAAATTTGGTATCTCAAAAAATTAGAATATTCTGAAAAGGCTGAATATAGAAGACACCTGCTGCCACTCTAATCAGCTGATTTACTCAAAACACCTGCAAAGGCCTTTAAAAGGTCCCTCAGTCTTGTTTTGAAGGCACCACAATCATGGGGAAGACTTCTGACTTAACAGCTGTCTAAAAGACAATCATTGACACCTTGCACAAGGAGGGCAAGACACAAAAGGTGATTGCTAAAGAAGCTGGCTGTTCGCAGAGCTCTGTGTCCAAGCACATTAACAGACAGGCGAAGGGACGGAAAAAATGTGGTAGACAAAAGTGTACAAGCTCTAGGGATAACCGCACCCTGCAGAGAATTGTGACGACAAACCCATTCAAAAATGTGGGGGAGATCCACAAAGAGTGGACTGCAGCTGGAGTCAGCGCTTCAAGAACCACCACGAGGAGACTCATGAAAGACATGGGATTCAGGTGTCGCATTCCGTGTGTCAAGCCACTCTTGAACATGAAACAGCGCAAGAAGCGTCTCGCCTGGGCCAAGGACAAAAAGGACTGGACTGATGCTGAGTGGTCCAAAGTTATGTTTTCTGATGAAAGCAAGTTCTGCATTTCCTTTGGAAATCAAGGACCCAGAGTCTGGAGGAAGAGCGGAGAAGCACAGAATCCACGTTGCATGAGGTCCAGTGTACAGTTTCCACCGTCAGTGATGGTGTGGGGTGCCATGTCATCTGCCGGTGTTGGCCCACTCTGTTTCCTGAGGTCCAGGGTCAATGCAGCCGTCTACCAGGAAGTTTTAGAGCACTTCATGCTTCCTGCTGCTGACCAACTTTATGGGGATGCAGACTTCACCTTTCAACAGGACTTGGCACCTGCACACAGTGCCAAAACCACCAGCACCTGGTTCAAGGACCATGGTATCCCTGTCCTTGATTGGCCAGCAAACTCGCCTGACCTTAACCCCATAGAAAATCTATGGGGTATTGTGAAGCGGAGGATGCAATACGCTAGACCCAACAATGCAGAGGAGCTGAAGACGACTATCAGAGCAACCTGGGCTCTCATAACACCTGAGCAGTGCCACAGACTGATCGAGTCCATGCCACGCCGCATTACTGCAGTTATTGAGGCAAAAGGAGCCCCGACTAAGTATTGAGTGCTATACATGCACATTCTTTTCATGTTCATTCTTTTCAGTTGGCCAACATTAGAGAAACAAACATTTTTTCATTGGCCTTTAGAATATTCTAATTTTCTGAGATACCAGATTTGATGTTTTCATTGGTTGTCACCTATAAATATCAAAATTAAACGTAATAAACATCGGAAATACATTGGTCTGTGTGCATTGCATGAATATAATGTACAAGTTTCACGTTTTGAATGGGATTACTGAAATATTTTCAACCTTTTGATGATATTCTAATTTACTGGCCAGCACCTGTAGTGGCCATCCAAGTATGTGAGCATTTAAACACTAATGCTCTGTTTGAGGAATTTCAGTCTGGTTTTAGAGAGTATCACAGCAACTGAAACTGCATTAGTGAGAGTTACAAATGATATTCTCATGGCCTCAGATAAGAATCTTGTGTCTGTTCTAGTCTTGTTAGATCTCAGTGCTGCCTTTGACACAGTTGATCACAATGTTCTTTTAGAAAGACTTGAACATGTTGTAGGGATCAAAGGAACAGCGCTAGGCTGGTTTAAATCCTACCTGTCTGACAGATTTCATTTTGTAAATGTACATGACAAATCTTCTTCATACTCCAGGGTTACTTGTGGAGTACCACAGGGTTCAGTGCTTGGAACAATTATTTTTACTATATATATGCTCCCAATTGGTAAAATCATTAGACAGCATGGGATAAACTTCCACTGTTATGCTGACGATACTCAGTTATATTTATCCATTAACCCTGATGAATCTAATCGGTTGGGTAGATTACAGGCTTGTCTTGAACACCTAAAAAATTGGATGACTCTAAACTTTTTGCTTTTAAATCAAGACAAGACCGAAGTTCTCATCTTTGGACAAGAAATCCAGAAAAGGAAATTGTTTAGTCAGTCACCTGACCTGAATGGCATTACATTAATCTCCGAGAACAAAGTAAGGAACCTTGGTGTTATCTTTGACCAGGACATGTCATTCAAATCCCAGGTTTCACAAGTTTGTAGGATTTCCTTCTTCCACCTTCGGAATATTGCTGATTAGAAGCATCCTTTCCAGGAGTGATGCTGAAAAACTAGTTCATGCGTTTATTACATCAAGACTGGATTACTGTAATCCATTACTCTCAGGAAGTCCACAGAATGTAGTTTAAAGTCTTCAGCTTGTCCAAAATGCTGCAGCTAGAGTTCTGATGAGAATTAAAAAGAGAGATCATATCTCTCCTGTCTTAGCTTCCCTACATTGGCTACCTGTTAAATTCAGAATAGATTTTAAGATCCTTCTTCTCACATATAAAGCTCTTAATAATCAAGCTCCATCATACATCAGTGATCTGATTGTTCCATACGTTCCTAACCGAGCACTTCCTCATCCAGCATGTGATGCCCAAATCTATGGAAACATTCCCAGCAGCTCTGGTGAGAGTCCGGATTCACCAAAGGGCTCAGAGTCATGCTTGTTTTTGGTCTGTGCACGGGGAGAGCAGGTAACTATGCAGAACAGCTGCCACTGGGTATTAAACCTGCAACCTTCTAGCTGGAAGGCATCAGTGCGTGACTGCAGTCCAGCCCTCTGGGACAGGCTCTAGGTAGTTTACCAACAACACATTAACATTCAAGAGTTTCATCAGTGATCACATTTCACCATCGGTCAAATGAGAGGCAGGAACTTACCAGAGCCGTGTACAGCGTGCACACCAACCCCATGGTCAGCACTGCCCCCCACAGGTCAATCCCAGTCACTGCAGGTCACAGGAGCCCCAGAGAACAGGTGAACGATTAACATTTGGACAGCAACACCCAGTTCGGGAGTCCAACAGAAATGTGTACCTGCATTTAGCGCCAGAGCTGGAGCATAGAGAACCACGCCCATATAGATGACCTGCGGGGAAACGGAATGCAGGTCAGAGGTCAGCACCTAGATCCTAAACCCGATGGCTCCGTTTTAGAGGTGTCCGGGTACTGATCACACAGAAATGGATCCAGAATTTAGCTGTTTTAGATCTGAGAGCCAGGGGGCAGTGCAGAGTTAACGCCCAGGATCAAAGGACCACGGGCGGGTATCAGGAAACTGTGGTGCCCAGCTGAGTGATAGCAAGTTAGCTAACATAGATGAGCAGGACTGGTACCATCTGAAAGATGAAGGTGATGGTCCCGCAGATCCGAACCGTCTTGTTGAAACGTAGTTCCAGGTACTGTTGGAGCAGACGGAGAAGATTAGAAACAGCAGGAGTAAAATCAAGAGTCCAAAGGTCTCAGAGGCTTTGGTGTGGGGGTGGACAGGAACTCAAAGTTCAGTCAGATGTAGTAAAGATGTTCTAAAGACCTGACCATGACAACACGTGCTCGTCTGAGTCACTCAGGTCAAACATTACACTTAACTTTCAGATCAGTTCTGGAAGTCAGAACAAATAAACAAGAAGTAAACGTGACCTTTCCCCTATGTAATCACGATAGGAGCTCCACTAAACAGGCCGACAGCTGGAAATACCTCGTAGGCACTGGACAGGCGCAGGCGGTAGAAGACTGGTATGAACACATGAGCTGGAATAAGTAGACCCAAGAAATAGGAGCAGCCCAGAAACCAGTACTGCGTCCCAAATGTGTAAACCTCCGACGGCGCGCCCAGGATGGCCACGGCAGACTGAAACGTAGCCAGCAGGGACAGGGACACGGGCAGGCAGCTCATGGAGCGGTCGGCCATCAGAAACTCCTGAGTGAGACAGGTTTATGTCAGACATCAGTGCTGCTCTCACGCTCCACCCTGGCACCGGTAACCGGTCCGTTTACCTGTGTGGTACGCTGACGGCCACCAGAGAAGGCGTAGAAGAGGCCGATGCCAGCCGAGGCCACCAGCAGCACAGCGAAGATCACATAGTCCACCGTGGTGAAGTGCATCTGGACCACTTCCCCCATGACAACGCTGGATAAGGTAGGCTTGGTCTCTGAGGCTGAGGATGACATCACAACATGAAAGATGAGGTCACAGGTCTTGGTCTGGCTGGAACCAGCAGATGTCTGGAGTGAAAGTCGAGAGGTTCCTGGATCAGGGACCAAACGGACACATGACCAGTTTGTGCTCCAGTGGTAACTCGTGTTGTCACGGTGTGAAAATTTCACCTCACGGTTATTGTGACCAAAATTACCACGGTTTTCGGTATTATCGCGATATTTTTTTAAACATGTTACATTTTCAGAAAACTACATAAACCCTGTATATCAGGAAATATTGTCCTCAGTTTGTGTCTAAATTTAGCCTAAAATATGTTATTTTGTAATTATGTTGTTTATTTGTTTACATTTTCCCCCTTTAGTCTTTAAAATACCAATATTTGCCCATAACTTATTTTATGTCTGTTTGATGTCATCATTTTAAAAATATTAGATCAGATGATACTCAGTACTCAAGTAGCCTTCTAATCAGATACTTTTTTACCCTTACTTGAGTAATAAACCCTATATCAGGAAAATATTGTCCTCGGTTTGTGTTCTTCCAGTGAGCTTTGCAGATGTGGGAAAATGTCATCAGGCAGTAATCGTTGTTAAATTCATAATTATTCTCGGAGAGAGACCAACTCTTATCTGCCCCTGGGAGCCCCGTAATGCATAGCGTCATTTCAACATGGCGGTGTCCGCGACACGGTTTATATGCAGGTAGCGGCGCTGCGGCTGCTTTATATAGCGACTTGTTGCATTCTCCCTCAACCCAAATCCTCGGATCACGCATTTTAGCTAAAACGCTAACGTTAGCTTGCCTTGCGTTGACTGTAGAGTTGTGGGTGATGGTCACGCAGATGTGTCATGAGATTTGAAGCGTTGCTGCCTTTCACAGACACTTTTTCTGCTCGTGCTGCAAACAGGATAGCCGTCTTCTATCAGCTGTCCCTCGGCATTCTTCAAATATCCAAAACATGCCCGTACTTCCCACTTTGTCTTCTTTGAGGGATAATAAATGTCCTGAGCGCTGCCGTCTCCTCCTTTGGCCATTATTTCAGCTTTAGCTTCAAGAAAGTTTTGGTTGTAAACAACAAAGTGCGCATGTGCCGGCGGCAACTTCAGCAGATGATACGGTGGCTGGTAAGGGTCACCGCGCCTACACCACAGCCACGCTAAACCCACCGAGATGATATAGTTTTAAAAAACAAGACTGTTATTATTATTGTCAACTTTTTTACCGGGGTTTACCGCTACACCGGTTACCGTGACAACCCTACTGGTAACCAGTCAGTCCTTACACCCTGGTGAGCTGGTCCAGACCTAACAGGAACCCTGATGTGCACCTGGAGCTGCAGGAGGACATGGTGTCATGTGACCACTGCAGCGGGGTAAGGGCTAAAGGGGTTGACCACTTCCTGGTGCCAGCAGTGTAGCGTCTGCTGCTGCAGTAGTGATGATGTGGGGTTTATGGGTACTGGGCCAGTGCAGATCCAGACAGTGGAGGCACCAGGGGGGCGCTAGGGGGCGCTATAGCTACCCCTGGATTAGTCATTGCACCCCCAAATAAATATTAGATTTTTTTTTTACAATTTAATTTTAATGTAACGTGTGGATGTGATCATATTTAACTTACAAAACAAAAATAATCAGTAAATTATCATGAAGATAGTAAAAACTTAAACCAAAACAGGAAATTGATGTTAACCTTTGACCTCATTTTCCACCTGTGAACGAGTAAAAGGTAGAGCTAGCGGTAAGATGGATCGGTTTTTGTTGCCAACATTTCCACGGGTTCAGTCAGAAACCCTTACCCTAACCCTGACCCACAAACACCTACGGATCTGGATGAAGAGAGTCAACCCTCAACCGCCGCAGCAGTCCAGGGTGTAGCCGCTGGAAATGCTAACGCTAACGTTAGCTAGCCTTGCAACACTATAGACGGTTTTCTGTGTGGCTGTATGTGTTTATGATTTCATGGAAAAGTCAACGATTGTTCATGTTTATGATGTATATTAATGATTGTTTCAGGTGTTGTTGAGGTGTTGTGCACGCATGTGTATCTGCTAGTGTTGAAGGTGTTCTAGAGAACAACAGGTACGCATGGCCACTTCCTTCATAGCACCTGCAGTAAAACATTTCTGGAGCCGCAGCTGAGAACACGATACCTAACCCGCTGGCTGTAGTTCTCCACTTCTTGCTGTGCTGCTGCAACACAAGCCAGACCCTCCGTCAGCCTGCTGCTGGTGTCCTGTCTCCGTTCTGCAGGACACCACACATCTGAGACGTTTCCCACATCATTCACATCCAGGGAGTTCTCCAAACTCCAAACTAAAAACTACAGTTTCCTTCCTGCGTGTCTGAGATGCTGTGCTTTGGGACAAACCTCCTGGTGACACTGCAGGACTATCAGAAGACATCAGACTGCACACTAACCTAAGGGAGTCCGGTTCGCTGACAGGGCTCACACTTGACCCTGACTCATCCCTTTAGTTATGCTGCATGGCTCCATGTTTGTATTTACTGCTGTTGCTGCCATGGACCTTCAGGGTTTGTCTCTCCGTCTCTTTCCTGAGCTTTAAGTCATGTTCAACAATCCCCTAAGAGCAGGGCTGCATCTGTCACTTTTTTATGAAGCACCTTCTACCACCCTCACTGAAGCCCATGAGCCCCCTCGTGCTGACCCAGTGGCCTTGTATGTAACCCTCTGAGATGAAAGCGTGTAACTGATACAGCTGGATTAATGAGGTGTTAATCTAATAATGGCTGCTTCTTTAGTCCTTATGTTGGATTCTCATGGGTCTCTGAGTTTATCGTGCAGACTGAACTAGGGATGTACGGAGTTAACCGCTTAAAGGGACTTTTTGGACTTTTGAATTTTTCTGCTCGCGATCGCCCCCTCAGGCCAAAAGCAGAATGGCAGCTTCACTAGTAGGCTCGTGCACGAGGCGTGCATGCTGTACGTGCACACTCCTTAACGAAAACAACAGCTGAGACAGTCCCGTGTGTGTGTGTGTGTGTGTGTGTGTGTGTGTGCGTGCGTGCGTGCGTGCGTGCGTGTGTGTGTGTGTGTGGCCCGGAGGACAGGAGAACACGCAGCTAATTAATTAAATAATGTGGTTCTGTAGCTTTCTCTTCAGCACAGCGACAAAGGTTTATGATGGGTCAGTCCTCCTGCATGCTCAGATCATTCCCTTCCCTTGCTTGAAAAATTGTTCCAAAATGAAAGTTGAACCCACATCTTTTTTATCTGTGAATTCAAAGCCGTTCGACGAGTCTCAAATAAAAATTTGGGCATCTTACTGTAAAAAATATACCATTAATGTAAAAAATAAACTCTAAATGAACTATGTTCACACCCAGAACCAAACCCAGGTCTTCTGCATGAGAGTCAGACATCTTACTAGGTGAGCTAAAGCGCCAGTGACATCCTCTGCATCTGTAACATTTATATCCTTGATGACAGCTGAAACGACGTCAAACCAAAGAACGGTTCGGAGTGAAAATGGCTATTTTGTTGCTAATTAGCAGGAAATATCTAGAAGAAAGTTCTACAGAAAGTAGCTAAGGGTCCTCAGAAATGTAGCTAGCTTTGTCACTAGGCGTTAGGAACAGCGACAAAGTGGCACTGCCTCTCTCTCTGCTGCTAAAGCTACGGATAGCAAATGCTACGGGCGATGCCTGAGCGTGAACGCGCATGAAGCAGCCTGCTCGACCCGAGCATCTCTCTTTTTCTGTGATTTTACAGAAAAACAGGCAATCACAGTAAAAATGCCAGGGCTCAATCTACAGGACCAGGGCATTGCAGGAGAACGTATGAAGAAGACATTTATTATTTCTATACATGTTTTGGCTGTCAAACTTGCATAATGCCCCTTTAACTGCTGTTAATGTTGTAACATGTTGTGCTGTTCGCGCTTGTTCTAACAACCAGAGAAAACGACGTTTAGAACATGCACCTCCAGAGTGAGAGAGCGCTGCTACGGTTTTCACCATCTCCCCAGAGACGAGGAACCCAAAAACGACGTGGCTGAAAAATCTTAACTTGAAAACCCCCACAAACTTTATTTGTGCATCCTTTTTATTTTATTGTGAAAACTTGGAGAGGAACACCTGCATCCTACTTTGTTGTTGGATGTGACAAACCTCCGGAGGTAGAGGAGGTAGGCCACGGGTCAGAGTCTGTATGTTCTCTGTGCTAATCCCTAACTGTCCCTACCCAGGGCAGGTAATGGTTACCTGTCCAGGTGTTGTCCCACTGACCTCTGGAGACACCAGCTCCCGTCTCCTGCTCAGGGTGAACAAACTGAATGGATGAAACTATAAATGTGCAGTTGGTGAGGAAACATCTCACTGTCAACTTGTTCCAGACACAACCTGCAGAGGCGAGGTTCTCCCTGATCCCAGCGTGGGTTGCTCTGAGCGCCGGGAAGCATCCCCTTCCATGAAATGTGATTTTAATATCTGCTTACAGGGCAGCCTGCTGTGTAGAGCTTCGCCTGGTGTCCGCGCACACACACACACACACACAGTGAAACACAACAGAACCTTAAACCCGTGTGAAGGTCTGCTAATCAGTTTCAGGCTGATAAGGAGGGAGGTCAGGGGCACATGGTTGCCTAGCAACACAGGAACAACCATTTGACACTGGAAGTGTACCGTTTAGCTGCATCAAACCCTCCAGAGAGCCGACCCGGTCCAGCGAGTGGGACTTCTGGTCCACTCCTAAATGATCAATGAGCTGCACTCAACCCCTGGTGGTGATGGGCTACATCCTAGCCACAGCTGGGTCACACAGGCACCATCGGTACCGGACAGGCACGGACCTCTAGACAGATCTGGTCCTGGACAGGCAGGACTGTGATCATCATGTCCACCAGGCAGAGAGGTCCCCCAATAAAACCCAGAGTCCGGTCCACCGGGTGTCTCCCTGAGTCGTCACTGCCCAGTTATCCATAACAGGTTTAGTCGGTACCGTGTAAGAATGGACCGTCCAGCGTAGAGCCCATTCCGGTGTTTAACCTGCCGGAATGGACCGGTTCCGTCTGCTGTCCCTGTGTCAGCCTGACGGACACCCGGTTCAGTCGGTCACGGTGTAAAGGTTTATCGCGAGTCACGTGGTTAGGGTCACTCTGAAATAATTTCAGCACGCAGAAGCGGGAAACTACCGGCGCTTGTTAAACCGCCGGTAGCCGGTTATAACGAACTAAATGTTCCCGTTACCAACAGCGGCTCTTACCTTTGACCACCCCGCCGTCCCACTACCGCACCGGCGACGCGGTGGACTCACCGCGCCGTTCCGTTGAGGACCGCCCACTCTCCTCGGGCTGCTGCTGCCTTCAGGTGTGCCTCGTAAATCGAACCATCACGGGAATGAACGGCTCAGCTGAGTTTACTGGTTGATGGCGGACAACCTCGCGCATTCACGTATTAGACTGGGAACCAAATCAGTGGGGCGATTTAACCCGGTAGCTTAAATCGGTCCCGAACACCAGGACCGCGTGGTAATTATAAACCTTCCCGGGGCCAACGAATGCAACACAGCACGCTGTAATGATCGTGATTTATGTCGTGTTCGAGTCTGGAGGATAATCCAACTTCTGATCTACCGAGCCTGTGGTGATAATCACCGCCGTGGCTCACCTGCTCCGGTTAGCTGCTGATAGATGGTTCAGGTCCAGGAGAGTCCCCCATCACTGAGCTGAGGCGCAAAAACCACCATGAATACTCATCCGCCGCTGCGCATCTGATCTGAACCAGCGCACACCTCACCCCCACCCGATGACGCACATCTCTAGAGAAAAGCACGACACGTGCAGACACGGGAAAAAACAAAAAAAAAAAAACCAAAAAGGCCACACAGAAATAAATAAAATGGTGGCAGAAAAACAAAAACACGACATGAATAAGATAAACCCCGGTGCTGCAGAAACATAAAAACAGGAGAAAAATAATGTAACAACAAAAATAAATAAATAAACATTTTAAACTACTATTTTAAATTTAATAAAAAATAAAAATTTATGTGACAAAAGAAATTGAGGAAATTATAACCAAAATAATGAAAAACAGTAATATAGAAAAGTCATCCACCATCGTCCTCTTTTCCAGGGTCGGGCTGCAGGGGCAGGAGCCTTCCCTGAGTGACATACCGTAAATCCTCTAATACAGGCCCGGGCCTGTATTTGACTCAAGCTCATCAAGCTCCAGGCCTTTATTGGAAGGAGGACCAGAATTAGAGGCAGGCCTCTATTTTCTATTTGAGCAAAATGAACTAATGGTTCGCTGGAGTTTTTGACAATTAAAATTGCGCCCACATTTTCAAAGTTAAACACATTTCTTTTAACAACGGTAGTTTCTGCTTCAGCCCTCTCCCCCCTCCCCCTGCATCAGCCCTCTCCCCCCTCCCCCCTCCCCCTGCGCAGCGGCTGCAAACTCACTGATGCGCCTGCAGCCTCTCGGAGTTTAAACATTAAAATAACTATTTCATTTTCTGTTCCTCATTTCTGATTACCTTCAGTGGTGTCTGTTTGTTGCAACCACCAGGTACAAAAACTAACTTGTTTTTATTTGACTATTTTTCTGTCCTGTCTGTTTATTATCTTCCTGCATCTCCTCTCAATCCTAAAGAAAAACTGCTACCTGGGTTCATATATATTCACCTCATGAGTTACCTTTGAACTGCAGTTCTAAAAGATCTACCGACCGCTAAAACAGCGGAGTGCTCGCCAGCCTCATCAGTTAGGTGCGTCACCGAGGACAAAACAGGTGAAGCGCCCCAATCCACAGCAGCGAAACGCATCAGGCACAAGTAAAAGAATAAAAGACAGAAAACATAAAAGGAAATGAGCCGACATGAACGATCGCGTGTTAAATTAGTTTTTGAGGTGGCAACACCTGATTTGATAATGTTACTGTGGCCGTGCTCAGGACGCAGATGTCTGCGCGCGTCAACGATCAGAGCTTTGCATGTGCAAGCTGGTTAAGGTTAGGATGGGGGTGAGGGGAAGGTTAAATTGCAAGAGGGTAAAGGTCACAATTTGGTTAAATGTCCGTTTTACGGCGGGTGTCAGTACCGACGCTCTGGCACAGCGCGTTGCCTCCCAACGCGCAGGAGCTTGTCACCTGCTGACAGCAGGCTGCTGTCTTTTCCGTGGACTGCATCTTGCCGGTCATTATCACGTGACAGCGACTAGTCGATGACAGGCATAACAAGTCACTATAGAGCGGTGAAGTCGCCTAGTGACTAGTTCATACAACCCCTGCTACTGCTCCCCAGAGTGTTCTGCAGCATAATCAGCACGTTCTCTTTGACCTTGATATCAAATTTTCGCCTCCTCTTCGTCTCCGCACGGTTAGTTGCCCTCGCGGTCTATCACTGGCAAATCAAAAGTGAGACGCATGACACAACCGCCCCCCGTACTTGCTTGTTACCACATTCCACCCGGCGACAATAAAACCGGCCATTATTCACCTCCGCCGACACCGGCCAAAATATGATACCCGGCAGTTAATTAAATACAGGCTAATATTAGAGGATTTACGGTAGTCCCACCAGTGTGTCCCTGGTCTTCCATTGGGTCTCCTCCCAGTTGGACACGCCTGGCAAACCTCACCAGGGAGGCGTCCCGGAGGTATCCTAACCAGAAGCACGAGACTTCTCAACCGGCACCTCTTGATGTGAAGGAGCAGCAGATCTACTCCAGGCCCCTCCCAAATGACAAAGCTTCTCACCCTAATTTCATTGCCCTGCCACCCAGCGAAGAAAACTCATTTTTGCCGCTTATCTCCGTGATCTTTCTTTTTGTCACTACCCAAAGCTCATGACCATCGGTGAGGGTAGGAACGTAGATCAACCGGCAAATCAGGAGCTTTACCTTCAGCTCAGCTCGCTCTTCTCCACAACAGATCGGTACAATGGCCGCATCACTGCAGACGCAGCACCAATCTGCCTACCACTCTTGTGCTCCCATCGAGTCACTGACTCTTTACAGCAATCCTCATACTTATATATATATATATAATGTGTATATATAAATACGTGTGTATATATATATATATATATATATATATAGAGAGAGAGAGAGAGAGAGAGAGAGAGAATATTTATATATAGAGAACATGTATACAGGCCCTTCTCAAAAAATTAGCATATTGTGATAAAGTTCATTATTGTCTGTAATGTACTGATCAACTTTAGACTTTCATGTATATTAGATTCATTACACACAACTGAAGTAGTTCAAGCCTTTTATTGTTTCTAATATTGATGATTGTGGCGTATAGCTCATGAAAACCCAAATTTCCAATCTGAAAAAAATTAGCATATCATGAAAAGGTTCTCTAAACGAGCTATTAACCTAATCATCTGAATCAACTAATTAACTCTAAACACCTGCAAAAGATTCCTGAGGCTTTTAAAAACTCCCAGCCTGGTTCATTACTCAAAACCGCAATCATGGGTAAGACTGCCGACCTGACTGCTGTCCAGAAGGCCGTCATTGACGCCCTCAAGCAAGAGGCTAAGACACAGAAAGACATTTCTGAACAAATCGGCTGTTCCCAGAGTGCTGTATCAAGGCACCTCAGTGGGAAGTCTGTGGCAGAAAACACTGCACAACCAGAAGAGGTGACCGGACCCTGAGGAAGATTGTGGAGAAGGACCGATTCCAGACCTTGGGGGACCTGCGGAAGCAGTGGACTGAGTCTGGAGTAGAAACATCCAGAGCCACCGTGTACAGGCGTGTGCAGGAAATGGGCTACAGGTGTCGCATTCCCCAGGTCAAGCCACTTTTGAACCAGAAACAGCGGCAGAAGCGCCTGACCTGGACTACAGAGAAGCAGCACTGGACTGGTGCTCAGGGGTCCAAAGTACTTTGTTCAGATGAAAGCTAATTTTGCACTACATTCAGAAATCAAGGTGCCAGAGTCTGGAGGAAGACTGGGCAGAGGGAAATGCCAACATGCCTGAAGTCCAGTGTCAAGTACCCACAGTCAGTGATGGTCTGGGGCGCCATGTCAGCTGCTGGTGTTGGTCCACTGTGTTTTATCAAGGGCAGGGTCAATGCAGCTAGCTATCAGGAGATGTTGGAGCACTTCATGCTTCCATCTGCTGAAAAGCTTTATGGAGATGAAGATTTCATTTTTCAGCACGACCTGGCACCTGCTCACAGTGCCAACACCACTGCTAGATGGTTTACTGACCATGGTACTACTGTGCTCAACTGGCCTGCCAACTCTCCTGACCTGAACCCCGTAGAGAACCTGTGGGATATTGTGAAGAGAAAGTTGAGAGACGCCAGACCCAACACTCTGGATGAGCTTAAGGCCGCTATCGAAGCATCCTGGACCTCCAGAACACCTCAGCAGTGCCACAGGCTGATAGCCTCCATGCCACGCCGCACTGAAGCAGTCATTTCTGCTAAAGGATTCCCGACCAAGTATTGAGTGCATAACTGAACATAATTATTTGAAGGTTGACTTTTTTTGTATTAAAAACACTTTTCTTTTGTTGGTCGGATGAAATATGCTAATTTTTTGAGAAGGACCTGTATATGAGACACTTAACTGAAACTTTTTATTTTAACAACCAACGATTTATACAGAAAAATCATTACGATTAACAAGGCTGCCCAAACATTACGGCATCTTTCATGCAAGTCAAGCGGTTAACATATTCAGCAGTCCTCCGTTATGAACAGGGAAGCATGAACTCTGGTAGAAAACACTAATCAGCTCCATGAGGGAGAAGCTGTGTCTGCAGCACTAGTCACGGCTAAGCCAGCCCAGGCAGTCACTTACAAAAGAGGTTCATTAGATGGAGTCTGAAACGTGTCAACACTAACCAAACGTAGGACTTCAATAAATCTGTTTTACTTCTTAAGGGTTTTCATTTGTCATAAATCAATGTTTGATACTTTTAAAGCCTCCATGTTAGGAGTTCATCTTTAAATCCGTGTCCACTGGTCAAGGTTAGACAACAAAAGTCCACCAGTGACCATCGTCTAGTCCAGGAGTTACCCTTTAGTCCAATCACGGTCCCCACCCTGAATATGTGGGTGGAATTAAAAGTAACCAGTCATTGTTTCTGCTGATCACTTTAAATCTGGTCCTTAACGTCCCCGTTGTGTCTCCGATCAGTTCAGCAGTCTGATGATGGAGTTTATATCCGTCCCGCGGAAGCCCGGGTCCCCCACGTCTTTAAGGAGCCCGACTTTGTCCTTGGCGGCGTGACGAGGCACCGACAACTTGAATGGCAACAGGAAGTTGTTGGCCGCCCGGAAATTCTTCCCAACTGAGTAGATTTCATGAATCAGGTCTTCTAGACAGATGATGCCGTGTTTACCTGCGAGACGAGAGGAGAGCGAGTGAGCAGCATGCTGAGGACGGAGGAAAGACTCCGAACCACAGCCGTCCCTCATGTAGGGCAGCGGCGTTCACCCCCGATCCTCCAGGAACGCCGGCCTGTTCTCGTTAATCATCAGTGAAATAAATAAATAAATAACATGTTTGAACCCAAACGGACCAGGCTCTACTACTGAAAACACGAAAACCATAAAGAACCCTAAAAATGAAGCATGTTTATTTTAGATTTGTCAACAACAACAATAATAGTAACACCAGCAGGAGGCAGTGGGCTGGATTAGGATGTAAAGAGCAAATTGCAGTTTATTTTTTTATTTCATGTCTAAACAATACTAGCTGAAACACTTGGGAGCATTTTGTTTTTCAACACGTAACGGCTCATTTTTTGGAGTGAAGCGGTGAAGCTTCTAAAAACGCTTTTATTCCTCTAAATGTTCACCTGCGACCACCTCAGGAGGAGTCGTGTAACAAAGGTGCTTTTCTTTCTTTCCTTCTAAGCGAGCCCGGCCTGAAGCTCAGTATGGCGAGTAGGTAGTTATGTGGTACAGCGGTGTGTGTGTGCACTCTGGTACAGCGGTGTGTGTGTGTTCACTAGTTCTGAATAGTGTGAGGAGGCCGTGCAAACTCCAGCATGTCTGAACATCTAGTCTACGGGTTTTAAATAAGAAAGACAACGGCGCCATCTTGCTGTCTGGATCTGTTTTGTGCTGCTGAAAAAGACGAGTCTTCTGCGTGTGTGTGAGTGTGTGTGTCTCCTTGAGGTGATGGAGAATAAAAATCAGGCCTTACTTGTTGCTTACCAGAAACAGCGATCAGTCTTGTTCTTGCAGCTTTAAGTAATCTATTACTCAGTTGATCGGTTACGTTACACAACTCTAGTAGATCACTGCTGTTGTGGGTTAGCGGACCAAGCATCACCTTCTGGAGGATTTTTATCCTGGTAAGTTACAGATGGTGTACGTTTTTATACATCACTTCTTTCCTTCAACCGCGACACACACACACACACACGCACACGGACACACACACACACACACGCACACGCACACAGACACACACACACACGTATTGTTGCAGGGCTGAAAGAACTTTGAGAACCAGGTGCTTTTGCTGGTAACTCTGTTGTCCTGTGGGTGGACGTGACCCAAGCTTATTAATGTTACTACTACTTTTTTACTTGATGTAGTTTTGAAACCAGTACTTTTATAATTTGACTTGAATAAAAAGCTTGAATTGATGCTTGAACTTCTACAAGTCCTTTAAAACCCTCGTGTCTGTACCTTTACTTAAATAATGAATGCAAGTGCTTTTGACGCGACTGTCCTCTAGCCTGGTGAACCATCCGCAGCGCCTCGCTGTGTGTGTGTGTGATGTGTGTGTGGTGTGTGTGTGTGTTCCCAGCTGGAGCTCAGGGCAGTGTGACGCACCCATGTGCTGCTCTATGAAGTTGTTGTCTGTCAGAGGAACCCTTCTCCTGCCGATCCTGGTCTGGCCTCTCTTCAGGACGAGCTCCCGGACTGACTTCAGGTTGGGATATCTGGGAAAGGTAGTGTTCATCACCCAGAGCGACACAGAACCAAACCTACCGACCCAGCAGTCAGAAAGCCTCACCCCCACGCCACGTAGGGCTCCACCATCCTCATCATGGAGACGGACGTCTGGTTGATCTTGATGAAGGCTCCGCTGAAGATCTTCCTCAGCCTCATCATCTGGATCACCTTCATGACTTTGGGGCTGACACCTTTGACCCTGCCAGAACCAGAACGTATTTTTTACTTTTTATTAGACTCCAAATCACTTGGCACATTTCTAATTCATAATTTGTAAGAATGTAATCGACAATATTAGCATCCCTATGGGTTTTTCCATGTATATTAGCATTGGGCTAACCACTCGCTGCCAGTCAAATCGCAGCATTTGCCATTAGAAAATCTCCCTAGAGCCCATTTACTGACATGGAAGTGAAATCTGCAATATATCGTGAGATTGATTTTAGGCCGTATGGCCCAGCCGTACAACATGCCGATATATATCACCATTACCATACATTTGCTATGTTTTGAGCTATGTTCGGCGTCCCTGTTCACCAACGTCAACAAGTTGCCAACCTTGCCAGTCTCTATACCAGCTGATCTCAGCAACCTGGAAACACACTGTACAGGTGGAGAGGGAGAGTGAGTGAGTAAATGGTAAATGGCCTGTATTTGATATAGCGCCTTCTAGAGTCCTGGAGCCCCCCAAGGCGCTTTACAACACAATCAGTCATTCACCCATTCACACACTGGTGGGGATGAGCTACGATGTAGCCACAGCTGCCCTGGGTCACACTGACAGAGGCGAGGCTGCCGAGCACTGGCGCCACCGGTCCCTCTGACCACCACCAGCAGGCTAGGTGGGTTAAGTGTCTTGCCCAAGGACACAACGACAGCGACAGACTGAGCGGGGCTCAAACCTGCAACCTTCCGATTACAGGGCGAGCTCTTAACTCCTGTGCCACCGTCGCCCAGTATGTGAGAGAGAGAGAGAGAGACTGCCCTAACCACCACGCTCACCCGTTGGACAGACACTCACATTCTGATGCGAACAACGAAGGCCAGTTTGTTCTTGGCCGACGGCAGCGGGGCAGGTGGCCTGTGGTGTGCCCTCTGGAGGCGAGTGTCATCACGATGCTTCTTGTGGCTGTCTTTCAGGAAGTCCTCCAAACGCTTGAACTTTAAAGGCTTTCCTTTTGAGATCTACAGAAACCAGGAGTACAGATTAGAATCAGGAACACACACGTTTGTCTTTCATGTGTGAGGACCAGCGCTGAACTAGCCCAGAACCTTTGAGGTCCAGAGATGGGACACTCCCACAGGCTTCGACAGAAGGGATGGGAGGGAAATCCTGAGGGTTTATATTAGACTTTTATATATTTGCACTAAAGCCCAAAAGTGAAGAATTTGTCATTTCAGTGTTTTACACACACACACACACACACACACACACACACACACCACAGCTGGAGAGATTTTTAAGGGAAACACTGTATTTATTACTTGATTGTTCAAAATATCTCCCAGAAGTGATTCTTTTTTAAACAGAATTGTTGAATGATAAAATAAGGTTAATTAAAGAAAAACTAAAGAACATTCTGGATCTGTTTATTTTTTTACCGAATGTATCGGATCGGGACTCATATCGGCAGATTATCAAAAAAATCAAATGACTCGGATTCCTGGGCAAAAGAACTGATCGGGACACACACACACACACACACACACACACACACACACACACACACACACACACACACACACTTTACCCTTCTCTTCTCCAGCAGAGCTAGCTTAGCCTGGGTGGCTTTGATCGCCTGGTAGGTTTTCCTTTTCTTCAGGAGAAACTCAGGAACTAGCTTGATCACCTTCTCAGACCTGATGGAAAACCACACAACAACTCAGACAAGAGGAGGCTGTCGCTGTCGGATCCGTCCAGCGGAAACATTTTAACGTTTTCACCGGAACTTTGTAAACCGGCTTCAGCGTCTAAACATAAACACGAACCCATCCATGTGAGACTAAAACTCACTATCGGCGGCTTCCTGGCCGTCTAAGCCACACATACACACCTGAGCTGGCCTGTTAACAGCTGCGCTACATAATAAACATCAGATGAGTTTAATTACAGCTGAAACTAAGGCGGATGCACCGCGATGGCATTGAAAACAGATACATACTCTGGCTCGGCCATGTTGACACCGCGGAGCCGCTTCTTCTGGTGTTAAACAAAGAAAAGCAAAGGTTCACTAGCGCCACCTTCTGGACTGGAAGCGAAGAGCGCTCATTCAGTATCAGCCAATAAAATTGTATTATTATTATTATCATCATATTATTATTATTATTATTATATTATTATTATTATAATTTTATTATTATTATATTATATTATTATAAAAACACATCCTCTAATCTCTGATGAGTAGTCTACTTTGATACATCAGTACAGGATTTAAACTGGGATTACCGTTGACCAGGGGTCGGCTCTTTCATCCATTTGATGCCCATGCGCCTCTCTGTGCTTGTAAAATAATTAATGAATATTTATTTAAAATGTATTTTATTTTACATCATTCTTTTTTATCTGTATGCCAATTTTAAACATCAACATTGCCATCTTTTAAAATTAACAAAAATGATAAAGACCCGAAATTATAATAATAACATAATAATGAAAACAATTTTGCCGGCAGCTATGTGTGTGTGTGTTTTGCACTTCAAGCACCGGTCTAAACAACCTGACCAGTGTGTCCAGAACGTTATAATTAAATTATCTCACTTAGAATGAATACAAACAACAAACAACAAATGTCTCTATAGGAGTTTTCTGAGCTGAAGAGGATATGAGCTTCTGGACTGTTGCCTCATACAGACTCACTCCTCCCACTGAAGCGAGTGTTTTCTAAACCCGGTCTCTCAGAGAGACTTGTCACTTAGAAAATGTTCCCTGGTTACGAAACTTTGGCTGAATAGTGCTTGTTCCTGTCTCCAATGTGGCGACCTATGTGTGTGTCGATGGTGGTGACGCATCCATGAGCCTGGCTGAGGCAAAAGTCCAGAAGCTCGTATCCTTATGGAGATATTTGGTGCAATAACATTTGTGTTTTTATCCCTGGGAACTTGAAGTCACAGAGAAATATTTAGAAAAATCACATCTTTCACAGGTACAAAAACAACAGATACACCAGTTCAAAATATTGGGTACAAGTACACAAAATGCATGACTTCAGTCACACATAAAAAAATCTTACACTCACAGTTTGTTACGGAAATTTTATATTCCAGTACTTTAATCCTATTAACTAATGTATTACCTTATGCCTGAAAGCATTCACACACACACACACACACACACACACACACACACACACACACACACACACACACACACACACACACACACACACACACACACGTAGAGTGGTAAATGAAGTGCTTTAAGAGCTCTATATATTACCTCTACTTATGACCAATAAGCTGTGATACTCTAAATATAGAACATCAACCTGCTCGGTCTTTGGATGTTTACTCAGAAGATTCTGGGATTCTTTGTTTATTCAGGGATTGTTGAACACCGTCTTGATTCAGGAAAGAGTCGGGTTTATAAAAAGGAAGAATTTATTTTCCAAACAATTAAAACATGACACATTAACCAATATTTACTGTGATGGATGGATCTGGGTGGATGAGATGTGGGGGTAGGTCGGGTTTTCACAGCATCTGTCTGCATCCCTTCGTGGGGGTTTGTTGCTAGCCTCTCAAGGCTGTTATGGCGTCAGATTCGGATGACAAGACGTTTTTTGGGTCAGGCTGAGATAATTTTCCTCTCTGCCTTCAGTCTTTAAACTGATCATTCCAGTCCGACAGTGATGCCAGTTTGGGTTTTTAAACTTGTCCATACAGTAATACGCTATGGGAATGACAGCAAAAGCTAACAGTGTAGATCATAATTGTGCAAACACAGATAGTATTTAATGGTTGTTAAATCATGTAAACTTTAGTTTCCTATCACAACGTGGCAACCCACAGAAACTGCAGTAACCACATCTGACCACAGGAGGTCACTGTTACTCATTTCTTATATAGTTTACCTTTAACAATAACAAAGCCAGAGACTAAAGGTGAGTTTCCAACCTGGATTTAAAGACAGCCAGAAGAAGACTGCCTAACAGCAAGAGAAAGATCCGTACCACAACCACGCTCTTTCAACTGCTGGGATGGAGGGCAACCACTGAGCAGAGGTGATAAAGCTTTATTCAGATGTGGCATCTCTGATTTATTGTGTTTTAAATAGAAACATGTATTATTTATAACATCACCACAAACAAATAAAATCAAAAGAACTGAACAATAAAATAAAATTAAAACGTGTGGACTTCCTTGGCCTGCCCTACTGCTGGTGCCCATATTTCCGAAAGGACCTTGAACGCAGCAGCAGCATCATCATGGACCTGCAGCCGCCTGCAGCTGTGACGTGCAGCGACGGATCTGAACGGCGACACGAGACCCAAACCGGGCAACCGGAACCTCCCGTCTCACTCTCCTCTCTACGCTGACGGAGCACCGCGTTGCGGATCGGTGGTACCGCTGGAACCGGTGAGTCCCTCCGGTGTGCGGCTCGGCGCGTGCAGCGGTCCTAACTCCTCTGTAACTTGGCTGTAGAACGAGCCAGGACCGCTGGAGATGATGCAACTATCCAGTCCCTCCAGCAGGGGGCCCATAAGGCAGGGTTGTCGAACTCACACCGGGCCAAAATGAAAAACTGGGACGAAGTCGCGGGCCAAACTCTATATTTTTTGAAAAGTGACGGTAAATGTGCACATTTTCCTTTATCTACAGATATGAGCGGCTGAACGTTTTCATTTGGAAACAAACTTATTTTTGCAGCAACATTGAATGTGGAATAACCGCGTCTGAGCAAGTCCATTTAAAATAAAGCACACAGTGTTATTTGTTACGTATGTCTCATTTTTTTTATTTTATTCCTTAAAATCTGCATATATTCAGCATTTCTTCTTAGTTTTTTATCTTTTGAATCTTTTAAGTGTTTCTATTTTATGTTTTCTTGTTTATTGTTTGAATGCTGTTATTGTTTTCCTGTTTTTCTTTCTTTCTTCTTCTTCTTCTTCTTCTGCTTCCGTACACTTTTGAACCTCTTCTTCTCCTTCAAATTTTGAGCTATTTCAACAATTTTATATCAAAACGTTCAGCTCGTTAAGCTCTTTCCGGCTTAAACTTTTGGCATTGATATCTTTAAAATTTTTCGAATTATTAAGCTTTTTCTTGCAAAAAATTCCCATTGAAATGAATGGGATTGGTCAATTTTCAGCAAATTCCTTTCACTTTTTTGACCTAAAACTCTACTGGGTTCCTTTTAACTTAGAGACGTCATTCAAAGTTTAACAAACTCACAAGACTTTCCTGTTTAACATATTAAAGAGGCTTTTTGATATCTTTTACGGTTTTTCTAAAATCGCAGGAAGAAGTTGAGGTACGACTTGAAATTTTCAGAAAAAATCACAAAAGTTATAATGGGGAAAGATAGGAGCAGTGACCCTCCCTTGCTCCATTTCTGGCGTTGTCCTGAGAGAACCGTAGGTCCGATTGAAATGAGACGCACGCTGGCTTACAGCTAACGAATATACCTTCGTTTTGAGCTATAATTCATGACTGTACTCCAAACATTGTGGTCGTACGGTTCATTTGTTTGAGAACATTCAAATTTAAAAAAATGTCTCTCCTCACTCTAAATTGAAGATTCCGCGCTCTATCTCCACTTCATAAATCAGAAACTATCTAGAAAGGTTCTCAGCTGCATTTTAGTCACATCCCGCCCTCACCACGCCCACTTACTGCCATAAATGGTCGATGCAAAGTACCTTGTGGATCTCATGCATATACATAAGCCGGCTGTTGCAGCGCTCCGCCAATGACATGGCGACCGTAGATCAAGGCAGATCAAGGCAGCACTATTTCACAGAAGTAGAAGTTGAGGTACCTGTGGGTGAGGTGGAGAAATGAAAGGAAGTGCTTTTGCAAAACAAATAAGAGAAAATCCACGGAGCGGCACAGCGTTGCTGAAGCCGTCAATGTTGTGAGTTCTTCAGAGAGATCTGTGGCGGATATAAAACACAATGGTCCCATTGGGATTCGATCCTCAGACTCCCGGGTAAAAGTCATGTGTGCAAACCAGTCACCCAAACGAAGATCTTCCTTGTCCAAGTAGCCAGGACACATGATCAATCGGGTCACAGTGACAGGACACACACTGTCACTGACACATGACGTTCTGTCTCAATCTGTCCCCCTGCTGATATTCTGCATTCCGTATTCTGCGCTTCAGGCTGTGTGTGTGTGTGGGGGGGGGTCTTGTTCTGTGTGCAAACGAAGCGGTACAGGTGATAATGCTGCAGGATTTAATAACTTTATCCTTCTCAGCAACAGCACTGCAGGTACTCTCCATGTCCAACATGTGTGTAAGCCAGGTCCTTAGTCAACTTAAAGTTGCACACATTTTCCGCTAAGTTTTCTTTCATAAATCCCAAAGTTTGCGTGGAAAGTTGCTTACGCAGTTTTCCGACCCCGTTCTGTGCGTAAGCTAGCCTGATAAATGAGGCCGCTGATATCTGTGAACACATTTATACTTGATGTTGTTCAGCTGAAGCAGACATCTGCTTATTTCTAACAGCTGAGCTGTAGGAGAAAATAATCAGATTATTTAATCTGATTTTCCATCACCTGTGGGTTTAGTGCATTCACTTAATATTAATTATAAAACTATAAATATCAGGACTCTACAGTCTGGTTGTCTCGTTGGCAGCATCTCACCTGGTCCATCCACACTGAGTCATGACTGATCACCGGCCAAAAAAACCAAACACAAACGAGGCTTCCGGGTTAGCGAGCAACCACCATGGCCGCATAACTTTAAGCTCCGACAGCAATTTCTAAGAAAGCCCTTTAATTCAAGATAAAGCGGCCTATTACACCAACCGCACTGGAATGACGGGGTTGAAGAACCAGAAGTCAAATAAAACGTGAAACTCAAGAAGGAAAGAAGAAAATGGACGACCAGCAGCAGCGCGAGGAAAATGTAAGCCAGGTGCTACAAGCTATCAAGACAGAACTGCGTGAATTTCGAAATGAAAATGAACAGGACTTGCAAAAAATTAAGGAATAAATCAAAGAAGACATAAAAACCGAGCTGAAAGAAATGCAGAAGGAAATCTACCAGAGCACATCTGCCAACACCGAGAAAACAAGCTAACAGAGGCTGAAACACGGTTAGCCGAGACAGAGGCGCTGAACGCAGCCGTGAAAGACGCGCTGGTTAAAGTTCTGGACACCCGCAGAGATGCCCACAGAAAACTAACAGATCTAGAAGGGAGACCCAGGAGGAATGAAATTCGTTTATGTAGGATTCCTGAAGGAAAGGAGGGCAACTCGGTGCCACAGTTTGTGGAAAAGATGTTAATAGCGCCAACGGCAAAACCGGGCCAGAGTGCCCCACCCAGGTCAAGAATAATAAACTTTCGGGACCATGTCACTAAGGAAGATATACTGAAGAAGGCGTGGGCCAACAAAGTCCTGTATGAAGGCCAGCGCTCATCCCTTGACCACGACTACGCTACGGAAGTCGTACAGGAACGCAGGGAGTACACAAACATCAAAGGAACCCCGAAGGATAAAGGCATCAGAGTCCAAACACCTCCGGATAAGATATGCGTTCACCTGGACTCGGGTGTGCGTACTTACGGCAGTGCACGAGAAGCTGCGGCGAGCACGAGGAAAAGGCGCTGCTGGATTCTGCTCCTGGAGACACGGGCAAAGAGCTGGAGCGTCTGTCTCACGCGTCACCATGGCAACCAACAAGCGTGACCAGGTGAACAGAAGAGAGGGAGGATAACGCAGCATTAGGATGGACAGTAGGCACGGCCGGATTAACCATACGGGCAACTGGGCAATTGCCCAGGCGTCCACGAACTGTAAAGGGCCCAGGGCAGCAAAATACTGTATCTGTTATCTCCCGCTTTATATTAAACTAGCGTGACCGCACGTCTTCTTTTCCCCGGACATGTCCGCTTTTCACTCTCTGTCTGGGCATCCGGGGGGTTCTTGTATTGATGAAAATGTCCCGTTTTTCATCCAGGAGCAGGGATCGAATAATGGGGGAGCTGGATATCCAACACATCCAGCGGAGCCGGAAAAAACGTTTCTACCTGTATTACATCATTCATGGACTCTTCTGAGCGGAGAGCACAGAGAGCGGCAGAGCGATGTTCGTTGTTGCGCAGCGCTCCAGGCAGCTGCGTCCAGCGCACGGTCCAGGCGCAACCAAAAAATCAGTCAATCAGAGCTTATAGGATTGATCCTGGCTCCCAGAGGATGCTGCTGTGTCCCTGGGCGAGACACTTAACCCACTTTGCTTTGTGGTGGTGCCACCTGTCCTCTGCACTAGCCTGTTAGTGAGCCCCAGGGCAGCTGTGGTCATATTGTAGCTCATCACCACCAGCATGTGAACGGATGTAGTGTAAGGTGCTTTTGAGTCCTCTGAACGTGCAGCTCTGCACTTGAACAGCACATTGAACAGCTTCTGTGCATTAAAGGTGTTATATAAATAATGCCTTGTCTAAGTGATCTAAATCCAGATTATTGCGCAGAAAGGACGCGCTTTTGGCTTCGTTCTGACTCCGGTCTGACTTGGGTGTGACTCAGAACTTTGGAGTTGAACCACTTTTTTCGTGTCTCACTGAGAACAAAGCTGTTCTGACGTGAGTGGAAACTTTGCACTCCTCCATGGCCACCACATCCTGCAGGCTGTCGCCTGACGACGCTGACAACGCTGTTACAGGCTGAGCTCTCTGTTTAGAGCACGGTTTTGCACCTTTCTTTGCCTTTGCACACGTACAGGAAGTTAGTATCACCCACAAGATGAAACATATGCTGCTTCCTCTCTCACTTTTGTCTTTCTTTTTCTTCTCTGTACGTTTTTAGGCTCTTTATTTTTTTCACATTTTATTTTCTGCAAATAGAGAATTCCCCAAAACTGCTCCAACTCACCTTCATGCTCCTAGTCTTTCCCTCCCCACCTCTGGTCTCCCAACATTTATAGTTCCATAATCCCAGACACTAGTCATCTACCACTTTTATTGAAAACTGATAGTTTATAGTACTCTTAAGTTTAAATGCTTGCACATACTCAGTGATACTTGGCGAACCACTTTTTGTAATCGACTCAACGCCTCATACTCCTGGTTAGGCTTGCTACTAGGGGTGCAGAAAAAATCGATTCAAGTCTGAATCGGGATTCTTATTTACAAAGATTCAGAATCGATTCACAAAGATTCAGAATTGATTCACAAAGATTCAGAATCTATTCACAAAGATTCCGAATCGATTCACAAAGATTCAGAACCGATTCACAAAGATTCAGAATCGATTTAAAAAGATTCAGAATCGATTCACAAAGATTCAAAATCGATTCACAAAGATTCAGAATCGATTTAAAAAGAATCAGAATCGATTCACAAAGATTCAGAATCGATTCACAAAGATTCAGAATAGATTTAAAAAGATTCAGAATCGATTCACAAAGATTCAGAATCGATTCACAAAGATTCAGAATCGATTTAAAAAGATTCAGAATCGATTCACAAAGATTCAGAATCGATTTAAAAAGATTCAGAATCGATTCACAAAGGTTCAGAATCGATTCACAAAGGTTCAGAATCGATTCACAAAGGTTCAGAATCGATTCCAGGAACTCAAATGTTTGGCACGTTTCAGGTTTGAGATGCACTTCTGTATGTTTTTTTGGTCTTTGTTAGGAGAGTTAGTACTCCGTTTACTTTTGTGGTCCCATAAATTGGGATGATTTATTTTGAATCTGCTGATAAGAGGGAACTAGAATGTAATTTTTTCCATACTCAGAAATATGAGATGTTCTCATATTAATTTTCTAAGTTGATAAATGAGTACTCAGGATTACTCGTGTGTTTATTTGAAGTTATTGATAAATGAGTACTCAGGATTACTCATATTTTTATTTGAAGTTATTGATAAATGAGTACTCAGGATTACTCGCGTGTTTATTTGAAGTTATTGATAAGTGAGTACTCAGGATTACTCGCGTGTTTATTTGAAGTTATTGATAAATGAGTACTCAGAATTACTCGTGTGTTTATTTGAAGATATTGATAAGTGAGTACTCAGGATTACTCATATTTTTATTTGAAGTTATTGATAAATGAGTACTCAGGATTACTCACGTGTTTATTTGAAGTTATTGATAAATGAGTACTCAGGATTACTCGCGTGTTTATTTGAAGTTATTGATAAATGAGTACTCAGGATTACTCGTGTTTATTTGAAGTTATTGATAAATGAGTACTCAGGATTACTCGCGTGTTTATTTGAAGTTATTGATAAATGAGTACTCAGGATTACTCATGTGTTTTTTTGAAGTTACTGATAAATGAGTACTCAGGATTACTCATGTGTTTATTTGAAGTTATTGATAAATGAGTACTCAGGATTACTTGCGTGTTTATTTGAAGTTATTGATAAATGAGTACTCAGGATTACTCATGTGTTTATTTGAAGTTATTCATAAATGAGTACTCAGGATTACTCATGTGTTTATTTGAAGTTATTGATAAATGAGTACTCAGGATTACTCATGTGTTTATTTGAAGTTATTGATAAATGAGTACTCAGGATTACTCATATTTTTATTTGAATTTATTGATAAATGAGTACTCAGGATTACTCATGTGTTTATTTGAAGTTATTGATAAATGAGTACTCAGGATTACTCATGAGTTTATTTGAAGTTATTGATAAATGAGTACTCAGGATTACTCATGTGTTTTTTTGAAGTTACTGATAAATGAGTACTCAGGATTACTCATGTGTTTATTTGAAGTTATTGATAAATGAGTACTCAGGATTACTCATGTGTTTATTTGAAGTTATTCATAAATGAGTACTCAGGATTACTCATGTGTTTATTTGAAGTTATTGATAAATGAGTACTCAGGATTACTCATGTGTTTATTTGAAGTTATTGATAAATGAGTACTCAGGATTACTCATATTTTTATTTGAATTTATTGATAAATGAGTACTCAGGATTACTCATGTGTTTATTTGAAGTTATTGATAAATGAGTACTCAGGATTACTCTTGAGTTTATTTGAAGTTATTGATAAATGAGTACTCAGGATTACTCATGTGTTTATTTGAAGTTATTGATAAATGAGTACTCAGGATTACTCATGAGTTTATTTGAAGTTATTGATAAATGAGAGAACACATGTTCCTTTGTAAGAAATCGGAGGCACTTTTTTAAACAGGATGAGGACTCAAATGTTAAACTTGTTTCCACAGATACTTAAAAAGTATTTGACCGTATTACTTTCAAAGCTACTGTTAGGTAACTACAGATTAGTTGTATTTTACAAAGTAAGCAAAAATAAATGGAATCACTTTATTTTACCTTGTAAATTAGCTTTTTTTTTAGCATGACCAGTTTAAAGTCAAATAAAAATGTCCCACAGCTTTAACTAACTTGTACAACAAAGGAGTTAATCCTGGAACTGACACTCTTTGTTAATATCGATTGTGAATCGATTTAAATCGAAGAATCGATTCTGAATCGAATCGGCACCCCGAGAATCGGAATCAGATCTAATCGTGAGTTGCTCTGAGATTCACATCCCTACTTCCTACCTCCTCAAAGTACTGAATCTCTGTTTTTTTACTATTTCTGTTTTGCCCCTCTGGCGTCCCGTCCTCCCCAGACTGGTTACAACTCACCTTCTGGCTCCCAGTTCCAGCCCCCCACCACTACTGTAATGCTGTTTAGTTGTTTATTGTGTGTTTGTTTGTGTCTGTGAAGCACTTTGTGACAGTGACAAACGCGTCGTCTGTCCCCTGTGTTGGTGTGGTGTAAGGTGAAGGTTTTATTCCATGCGACTCCTCGTTGTGTCTTTGTCAGTGAACGTTCTCGTTTTGTTTGTTTGTTGTAAGCTGTAAACAAACAGCAGTAGATGCTTCCTGACCACATCTATGGTGTTGACCATTCTACAGGGGTTGGTCATAAAATCAGTAAATAACGACAAAGTTGATTTCTTTCAGAAACTCCATTCAAGAAGTGAAACGTGTATATTAGATGAATTCATTAAACACAGACTTACTTATTTCTAATGTTAATTTCTTTAATGATTATAACTGAAAACAAATACAAATCCTATTTCTCAGAATATTAGAATATCAGTTGAGACCAACGCAAAAAAATGTATTTTAGAAATGTTGGCCAACTGAAAAGTATGAACATGAAAAGCATGTGTACTCAGTATTCAGTTGGGGCTCCGTAGGCCTGGGGTACTGCGGTGGGGGCATGGAGTCCATCAGTCTGTGGCACTGCTCAGGTGTCATGAGAGCCCATGATGCTCTGATAGTGGCCTTCAGCCCTTCTGAACGGTTGGGTCTGGCGTGTTGCAGCCTCCTCTTCACAATACCCATAGATTGTCTATGGGGTCAAGGTCGGGTTGGTTTGCTGTCCAATCAAGAACAGGGATACCGTGGTTAAACCAGAAGCTGGTAGCTTTGGTGCTCTGTGCAGGTGCCAAGTCCTGTTGGAAAATTAAATTAGCGTCTTCATGAAGTTGTTCAGCAGGAAGCAGGAAGTGCTCTACAACAGGATGTCCAGATCCAACCACGTGATTGGAAATTGGTCCCAATCACGTGGTTTCAGACTTCAGTTTCGGGATCAGACGTTACTTCCCGATCCGGACGCGGATCCAGGGGTCAAACTACGGGGGAGCTAAGGGGAAGATGCAGAAAGATCAGAGACAGACAGGACGGGAAAAGTGGTTGAAGATGAAAATACAGGTAGATTGACCCCATTACACATTTTTACCTCTATAAAGCAATAATTTATCAGCATGTAATATTTATAGATTGAATACGATTCAGGTGACCTTCAAACCTCAGGGCCACACACAGGGCCGTATCAACGCATTTTGGGGGCCAAGGCAAAATAGGCCTCTTGTCTGTTATTTTAGGTTAAGGTGCTATTTATTTTTACATTTGGCTTTTTTATTTTTGCAGTAAAGTCAAGAAAGATGAAAATTTAGTTATTTTTTACTAAATTGTTCAAACTACCTCACAGAAGCGACTATTTAAAAGGATATTCCACCCAAAATAGAAATTTTATCTTTTGCCTTTATTTCCCAGAGCTGGATAATTTGGAAAACAACATTTTTAACCCGCCCAGTCATTCTCCTGACCCAGCTGTATATTTATGCTTCAACTCAATTCAATTCAATTCAATTCAATTCAATTCAATTCAATTAAATTCAATTCATTTCAATTCAATTCAGTTCAATTCAGTTCAATTCAATTCAATTCAATTCAATTCAATTCAAGTTTATTTATAAAGCGCCAAATTAGGACCAAAGTCATCTCAAGGCACTTCCTCTCCACTGTCGCTGCATGCTTGCTTAGTATGAGGATTGCTGTAAAGACTCTGACACTAGTCAGTGACTCGATGTGACCTGCTGGGTTCCTTATATAGGAAACTTTTTACTGATTGGCTTAATGACCCGACCTGTATTGGAATGTTTACCGTGTGAAGGTCCTTGAGACGACTCTGGTCCTGATTTGGAGCTTTATAAATAAACTTGAAAGTTAGACGCCTACTCAACAAGTTAAACTGCTCTCACAAGGGAAACACAATCCTGTATTATATCCGAGCCTGTATCTTGCTTTGTGTTATGTTGGAAACATTTTTGGTTAGGTTCTGTGTCACCGAGCCTTCTAGTACAAAGCAAGCTAACGTCCACTTTCCTCTTTCGCCACGGACAGATTATAGATAATGGGCTGTGTTCAATGCAAGGAAAAGGAATCAACAAAACTCACAGAGAAGCGGGATGCTAGCATCGCCCATGGAATGGGGTATCGCTACGGGGGGGACCCCACGCCTCAGCACTACCCTAACGTAGGGGAACACACCATCCCGAACTACAACTCCAGCACTACTGTTGGACGAAGCGTGGCTGTGTTCGGAGGGGTCGGCACTGCTTCCCACACTGGGACCCTGAGGACTCGGGGAGCAGGTGAGAGCACCACAAAGGTGTCAGAACAAAACACAACCCTAACCCTGGTGGTCCGAAGCCCTAACCTGGGCTCTCTCGACCCTCTATCCAGCATGTTCAGGTTTCTCTAATCCAACAACACCTGAGTCACATGTTCAGTGGGTCATCAAGCCTGCAGAAGCTGGTTAGACACCTGCTAATAACGGCTCATGGAAGCATGGAATTGCTTAAACCAGACGCTGACAGAAAATGTATGGTTGCTATATTTATATGACTTTATGATGATGATGTTTTTGTTTGATTCTTTATATTCTCGGCCACAGGCGGCGATTCGCTGAAAGGAACCTTTTCATTTTGGGATATAAATTCAGAACTTGTCATGTAGCTAATTATTTTTATCTTGCTTAATTTGAACGTAGAACAGAGTATTAACAACTGTGAACTAGTAACAGTTCATATGGGTCTGACAACTGACCCGACGCCGCCCCTTTCTGCGTGCTGCAGCCAGGTGTGCTTGGCTCGCTCGGTCCGCCCGGCGACGCCCAGCGCCCGGTGTCGGTGCAGGATCGGCTCGGGGTCCTTCGACTGCCGATGACGTCAAAGTAGTCGATTGGCTGAACATGAAGCTTACGGACGTTACGTTATCACGTTATGATTTTGATTGGTCAGAACAAATTTGCGGTCGTAGTCTTAGCGGTTGTAGTCCTGTAGTCCAAAAATCAACACATTTTGGAGAAAATATGTTTGAATTTCTAAAGGAAATGTAAAATAAAAGCAAATGATAAACGGTGACACTCAAAAGCTCTTGATGTTGATGAAATGGGGCAAAATAAAATATAAGAACTTTATTGAAAGACACCAAGCAATATTTTGAGTCAAAGAATGTATTTAGATAACAACTAAGGAAATATACAGACGAACTCCACATTAATACAACCAGATATGGCTTCACATATAAGAACCGTTCTAGTTTTTGTCAGTCCGATGTTGGTTTTATGCAGTTTCACATTCTTTACACAACAAAGATAATATGGTGTTTTATTAACAAATTACAATTATAAAGAAAACATTTAGGTGTTAACAAACAAGAATTTATGAACAACACTGCTGATGTCTTTCCAAAACGTGTGTGTGGAAGCCGAGTAGAGTTGCAGTAATGTGACGTCATCGGCAGTCGAAGGACCCCGAGCCGATCCTGCACCGACACCGGCGACGCCTCCTTCAGAAGCCTTCTCCTAGCAGAAAGTGTTTCTTGATGTTGTAAAATGCAAAAGTCTGATAAATTTGAACTTTTCAAAGAAAAGAAATGAAAGGAGAAAATAAAGGATTCGTGCTTTTTACAAGTTAGCATCTTTCACAAAGCGGTCAAAAGCAGTTTACCTTCCCAGGCCGAAACACACACACCTGCTTCTCATCTCCTCATTCATACACACCGGAGCACCGATTGGCTCCCACAAATGTATTTTTTTAAACAAAACTAGAAGTGTTCATCCTAATCTAATGAACTCAAACAAAGTCAAACACTCATAGGTACGTATGACATTATTCCAGTGGGATATTCCGACATCGGAAAGTCAGGATTTTTCTGAAAAGAAACTTCCGTTCAGGGCTGTTGTAAAACGTGGGGATGGATTGCTATGGAGGAAGTAGATTTCCAGCGTTCTAGTGCAATTAAATGTTTGTAAATATTTAAATATTTTTTAGCCAACAACTGAAATAAATGAGCTTTAAAACTTAAAAGGATCAATGAAGTAACATCAATAAATAAATAGAAATGAAATGCCTGGTTTGTTATTTTGTTTGAACCCAGCCGTCTCGTCTGAAGTTCGGGAATGTTTTGGAGCATTCCAAGCTCTGGTTAATGCAGACAACACAAAAACATAAACTTCCAGTAAAAGTCTTGGATGTTTATTTTACATTTGCTGATAATAATGATAATAATAATAATAATTATTATTATTATACAGGTGTGAACGTTGTCAGAGTCAGCGTTGCTGGTGCTCTCTGTTACCATTGATGGTATCCAATGTTGTACCCTACATAACTTATGCCTTGTCGGTTAATCGGTAAAAAATAACAACACCTAATTTATGTTAAACCATATTCGGTCAGAAAGGGTGAATGAATATTATTATCCTTATTATGCAAGTAGCAGTGAAGCATAGAGAACGTGTTATGTGTAAAGGGGGTGGGGCTTCTTCTTCCCCCTCCCTTTCAGACATTCAATACTAATGTTCATTACAGTGATCCCTCGTTTATCGCGGTAGATGCGTTCCAGACCTGGCCGCGATAGGTGAGAATCCGCGAAGTAGGGACACCATATTTACAGTACAGTACTATATTGAATTATCGTATGATCACATTCTATTTTTGTGTGTAAAACTAAAGAAAAAAAATTTTTTACTTGTTTTTTTTAATAGTTTTATTACAAAAAGTGCATTTTATGATGAAATTGATGAAAAAAACAGGAATTTCTTGATATTTCGCATAGAAAAATACCGCGAATCGGTGAATTTCCCTTGAATAAGGCTCCAAAGAAAAAATTCTCAAAGCCGTGAATCCGCGATAAACGAACCGCGAAGTAGCGAGGGATCACTGTATTTAAAACACGTACTTATACTGGAGGAGGTTTGTCATCTAGAGGGTGAACGCCAAATGCCAGGAATAGAAAAATAACTCAATCCCAGCAGGATTCTGTGGGCTGGATTAGGATTTAATGATAGCATACCTTGCTAACCAGCTAACCGCATTAATACCCCTTCCACTAACCTGTCCTGTGGGACACTTGAACTTCCATCTCCTTCTGTCTGTGGCCATCCTGTAACTTAACCAAAGTTTCCTCCAAATGTTTAATTAACGTCAACAACGTCCTCCCGGGCCACGAAACAGAAACGTGTAGCCAGAACTTTGACGACGCAGCATTAGCCGGATGTTGTTACGAGTTATTTCCTCCGGTGTCCCCGAAGAGCAGCAGAGACGGATCGGTCCCTGTCGCTCAGACACAGCTGACACGCTCAGCTCGGCTCTCGACAAGCCCAGAAACTAAACGTGACCCTGGAATGACCCGAAGCCAGCTCTGCAGACGTCACAGACTAAACTCCTTTTCTGTTTTTGGTGTCTGCAAACGCGATCTTTGGGCCAGCTCCGCCTCTCTCTCCTGACTGACCCAGATTCGGTCTGGCCACTGAACTAAATCACTTTTGTAAGTTTATCAGGAAAAAAGTAGCAAGTTTGCTGATTTATTTTCAGCAAATTCTCAGGAAAACACATCTCGCGCTCATGGTGCGAGGCTCGAGAGCTCTGCATCCAGGCGGGGTTCGGGACTCAAGTCCGTCGGGTCGCTTTGGGTTCGAGCTGAATGTTTGGTCTCATACTGTCATGGTCTGCGTCTGCCCCCTCCTTCATGTGCCTCCTGGTGTTTCTCCATCCTCTCTAGATTCCCTTCTGTGTCCTCTAGCGCCCTCATGTGTCATGTCTGCGTCTTCCTCATGTGTCTTCTGGTTTCCCATTAGCCCGTAGATCTCCAGCCCTCTAGGTTTCTCAAGTCATTTCCTTTAGTTACAGCCTTTCATGATTTACTATGTTTTTTCCCATCAGTGTTTAATATTTTTCTCCCCCTCCCTTTGAATTGTAGTTATGTTTCCTGCTCTTTTGTATTAGGTTTTATTCTTAGGTCAAGTTAGCTTCTCCCCTGATTAGTCATTGCCTTCACCTGGTCCTCCTCCCACACCCCACACACCTGCAGCTCATCCTCCCTGTGTGTTTAAGCCCTGTCATGTCTCGGTGTCTTGTCGGTCCATTGTTGGTATTCTGTCAGTCTCTTGTTCCTAGTCTTTCGTATTTTCTCGTGTCTCAGTTGGATCTCTGGTTTATTTTGGATTTTGGACATTTTTGGACTCTCTGCCCTGGATTTATTCTTCGTTTCATCCTTCAACAATAAAGGATTTCACTTTGCATCATCTCCTGCCTCGTGTCATCCTGGGTTGCTGCATATTTGGGTCCTAAACATCCCCAAAACGTGACACATTCGCGCGTGTGTGTTCTTTCTCCAGATTGTTGGTGACACTGCAGCTGGGTTAAACATAAATAGGTGTCATTGTCCACCACAAGACCCGGCTGCAATCAACTCCAGCCAGGTCTGTGGAGAGGCTGGTGCTGCAGCAGGTGGGTTCAGGAGAACTTACAGGGTAACGGTGGTGGTAGGGACCTAGTTTGGGTTTCACGACTCTGATGTTAAACAGAGAAACTTCCTCAGGACAGTGACGTCTTGTCTGTGGTAACGGCTTAACTCTGATCCCCACAAATGCTGTTTGTTTTTTCCAAACGTTCGGACATCTCCAGTCCTTTAGTTTGAACACATTTTCACCTGCAGCTATTCACCTCATTAACGACGCGCCAGTCACGTGCAGCTTCTCCATCATCCCGCTTGAGCCAGCACGCAGCGAAGCTCTGACCTGTGATGACCCCAGACCTGCTGATCTGAGTGTCGCTCAGCCAGCGGCAGAGAAAAACAATAAACCTCCAACCTTATTTAATATTGTCGACAAAACGTGCGGCAAAGCGTCGTTTTAGCTGCAGCTATTCACCGGTGAAGCTGAATGTGACGTCTGTGAGAAAAAGAGAAACTTGATTAAACGAACGAGGAAGGAATGGTATTCGTGTGTTTACGTTTTTCACTTCAGTTCTTAAAACTTTTAATTTTATTTAATGTCTTTAATCGTTTTATGAAGACATTTGTGTTGCAACGCTTGAAAAACGAATCGTAACACGACATAAAAACTACTTGAAAAGTTTTGTATTTTTTAAAAACGTTTTTTTAACATTAAAGTTCTTTAAATGACATTCTGTACTTTTATGAAGTGTTTGTTCTGCTGCAGTTCATACGCAAGAACATTCAAAACCAGTCATTTGTGATACAGACTTTAGGCCATGCGGGTCATTCCTACCCAGATGAATAATAAACCAGCTTTTATCAAGCGCCCCATGTCTCTGCGTCAGCCCACCTGTTTACATACCTGCATTGCCTTCTCAGGATGACATCAAGTGCTGCAGAAACCTGTTAATCACTCAGTGATCTAGATCAGGTGTGTGGCAGCAGGGAAACATCTAAAACATGTAGGATGGGGAGCTGAGGGCCAGTGTTAGGAAACACTACATGAAGGAGAACCAGAGCAGGGCTGCAGCTGCTACTGAGGCCCTGTCCACACGTAGCCGGGGATCTGCCAAACGTAGATACTTTTCTACGTTTTGGCCTGTCATCCACACGAAAACTGAGTTTTTTCACACGAAAACGGATCTTTTTAAAAATTCCGGCCAAAGTGAAGATCTGCGTTTTCTCCGTTTTGGGTGTCTGCGTGTGGACAGACAAAACCGGAGTTTTAAGGTCCGCAACGTCACTTTCCGCGACACAAAAATGCTGACATCACGTGTGCGACCTGTGTTTACACTAGCCGACATCATGGATGCCCTCAGAGCTGCGCTCGCTTTATCAATTGTCCAAGCGCTTTCTGCTTGTTTGTTTTTGCAAGAGGAATTACTGCTCCTTGTGGAAGACCACAGACGAAGGACGAGGTTAAGAACGGGGGAAGTACTGCCCCCTACAGGTCTGGCATGTCCTTAACAACGTATTTATCCGGGTACGTGTGGACAGAGTTTGTTTTTAAAACGAGGTGGTGTGGATGCAAGTTTTTGGAGGGGCGGATATTCGTTAAAAAAAACCCCGGCTACGTGTGGACTAGGCCTGGGAGAGGGCCTGAAGCCTCGTTCACACTGGATGCAGAATGGATGTGGTCCAGTTTCACATGGATCAGAAGTCACTGAGTCCAATCAGAGCATTACACCAGCTGTGGTGCAGATCCAGATGCAGAGCTCCAGAAAGTTTCCACGTGGAATATCTTTGTCTGAACCCTGCTGGATTGTTAAAGGTAAATATTTCACCTGAGCCAGACAGGAAGTGAGACGTGGTTCAGCGTTACGGAGATTTCACGACATTTAATAATCCTGTTAAAAGGAAGTTTTCCTCTCCACTGTCGCTGCATGCTTGCTTAGTATGAGGATTGCTGTATAGTCACTGACACTAGTCAGTGACTTGATGCAATTTGCTGGGTTCCTTATATAGGAAACATTATTTCTGATTGGCTTAATGAACTGACCTGAATTGGAATGTTTATTATGTGAAGCGCCTTGAGACGACTCTTGTCGTGATTTGGCGCTTTATAAATAAACTTGAATTGAATTGAATAGATATACGTTCTACTTTTGGAGAATCATCAACACGTTTCACTGAGGGGTACTCGTGGTATGGCTCAGGGGTCAGTAAGGTTGGGAAACACTGCCCTAAGCCAAAGTTGCCCTTTAGCTGACACCATCTCTCTCTCTCTCTCCTGCAGGAGTCACCCTTTTTGTGGCACTTTATGACTACGAGGCAAGGACAGAAGATGACCTGAGCTTTAAGAAAGGAGAGAAGCTCCAGATTGTTAACGGCACGTGAGTAAAGCATCATTTAGGCTTTTTCGTCAACTCCGCGAGGGAGAGACCACACACCTTCAGACTTCTGCGTCGCCCGGGGAGTGTTGCTAAGCAATTCCCCACCAGGACAGCAGAGGGCGTATGACTATTCTGGGGTTTCCTATCACATATGTGGTCCAAGATGTGCATTCACTGTTTATATTGTGATTTTTTTTATTTCAGAGACTTTTTAAAATGGATAAATTTGGCTCATTCTCCACCTGTTGATTCACTCGCCACCTCTAAACCCACCTTTTCATTCATTTCATTTCCGACCACAAATAAAACTTCGTGTTTTATTCCCCTCCAGTCACGGGTGACTTTTTCCGTGAGGTATTCTTCATGCTGCTCAGTGTCTGCCGCTAGAGATCTTTGTCCCTCTTTTAATTTCATTTAAATTTTTTCGAGGGGGCAATGGCGGTACCGGAGACGAATTTAAAGGAAGTGTTGTCCTGACCAATCACAAGCACCCTCTGTCTCCTTCAGCGTACGTTTAGAAAAGCGGGCTCTACTCCGTCCATCCTTGCGTGCCCGTTGGAGAGCAATCTTCTCGGTACCGATGCAGATGGAGAAGCATAAACTACACCACCTGTTACGTCCCCTCCTGAAGGTCTAGGAGGATGAGGGGACTAACACAAGAAAATAGGTGTGGGTGTGTAAGAGTGGATAAAGGACGAGGGGGGTTTGAGTAAAAACAAAAGGATTTATTAACAAAGGGTGTCTGTGTCTGAACGGCAAACTAAGGCTTAACAGTAACGGTGCAAAATAAGGTGGAAACTGAAAACATAAGCAGACTAACTGCTTATGATAAAGGCTCTCCGCCTAACTTAACTTAACCACCAAAATGAAAATATCCCCGGCTCAGAAGTCCAAATGGGGATAACAACCACCAACATAAGAAAACTGACGTCTTGTCAGATAACTCCTACTAAGGAGGACAATCAAGCCAAAAACTAGAACTCGGGAGAATCTCAGATAAATTCTGGATCTCTAGCAACAACCTTTAACCCGAACGGTAACGGTGTAAATAACCTTGAACCCGAGTGGTAACGGTAGCGCTGTAATCAGGAGAGTCAAAGAGCGAGGGAGAATCTCCGGCTAATCCAGGATCTTCCTGACTGTCTGCTGCGTTCCTCCTTTTAAGCCTTTTGGCCGCTTGATAGCTGACGAAGATCAGCTGCTGTCTTTTGCCGGCGTGCCTCTCTCCGAGGTCCTGAAAGGGCGCTGGAGAGTGAGCAGGCCACTCCTGGCGCTGTCCCTGGTGCTGGATCCTTTGCAGCGGGGACAAAAGGCTCAGGCTGGGATGAGAAGACGGACCGAGGGGGCGAGGGTCGTCACACCACACACACACACACACACACACACACACACACACACACACACACACACACACACACACTCACACACACACACACCTTTCTCTCTCTTTTCCATCTCAGGGTACGGTGGGAAATAAAACAACAGAAAATATTCTAAAAAAGTTTAGCATCATAGCGGAAGAGGACGTAAACATAAAAGCATGTTATTCCACATGTAGACGCGGCCATCTTAGAATATTTAGCTAATTTTGTATTTTTTTTTTTTACAAACAAACATTTTCCTTGTTGTTGAATAAAAACAGCTTTACTTTTTCTTTATTAATCAATCAAAAATGTTACTTCAAACAAAAACCAAAGTTGATCATTTTTGAAAAACGGCTACAAAAAAGTGAACTAGTGTGTTTGTGCACGTGTCTGGAGCTCAGCCAGGTGCATACACATACTAGCTGTTTTATTTTCTACACTGAAGTTCAGTAAAGGTGCTTTTATAGGAGACACCATGCTGGCAAATCGGCGTAATATTACCGCAGTGGTGTGTCTCTAAATACGCCATCCCGGTTTAGTGGTTCAGTAGTTACGTCTTATAGGAAAGCATCAAAGGTGAGATTCCATAGAAAATATGGATCTTTGAATACCACCTTTAATCAGAAGATCAGAACTTTTTATTGCAGGGATTACGTAACACTTCGTCATAACCCAGAGTCAAAAGAGAGAGACGAGTTTTAGAAGATTTACTTCTAAACAATTTAAAACAAGGCTAACTCTAACTTTAAACACTGTGTGATGAATGGATCTAGGTGTGAATGGGTGAGGGTTAGGGTTAGACTCTAACTTTAAACTCTGTGTGATGAATGGATCTAGGTGTGAATGGGTTAGGGTTAGACTCTAACTTTAAACACTGTGAGATGAATGGATCTAGGTGTGAATGGGTGAGGGTTAGACTCTAACTTTAAACACTGTGAGATGAATGGATCTAGGTGTGAATGGGTGAGGGTTAAACTCTAACTTTAAACTCTGTGTGATGAGTGGATCTAGGTGTGAATGGGTGAGGGTTAGGGTTAGACTCTAACTTTAAACTCTGTGTGATGAATGGATCTAGGTGTGAATGGGTGAGGGTTAGGGTTAGACTCTAACTTTAAACACTGTGTGATGAATGGATCTAGGTGTGAATGGGTGAGGGTTAAACTCTAACTTTAAACTCTGTGTGATGAGTGGATCTAGGTGTGAATGGGTGAGGGTTAAACTCTAACTTTAAACTCTGTGTGATGAGTGGATCTAGGTGTGAATGGGTGAGGGTTAGGGTTAGACTCTAACTTTAAACTCTGTGTGATGAATGGATCTAGGTGTGAATGGGTGAGGGTTAGGGTTAGACTCTAACTTTAAACACTGTGTGATGAATGGATCTAGGTGTGAATGGGTGAGGGTTAAACTCTAACTTTAAACTCTGTGTGATGAGTGGATCTAGGTGTGAATGGGTGAGGGTTAAACTCTAACTTTAAACTCTGTGTGATGAGTGGATCTAGGTGTGAATGGGTTAGGGTTAGACTCTAACTTTAAACACTGTGAGATGAATGGATCTAGGTGTGAATGGGTGAGGGTTAAACTCTAACTTTAAACACTGTGTGATGAATGGATCTAGGTGTGAATGGGTGAGGGTTAGGGTTAGACTCTAACTTTAAACACTGTGTGATGAATGGATCTAGGTGTGAATGGGTGAGGGTTAGACTCTAACTTTAAACTCTGTGTGATGAATGGATCTAGGTGTGAATGGGTTAGGGTTAGACTCTAACTTTAAACACTGTGAGATGAATGGATCTAGGTGTGAATGGGTGAGGGTTAGACTCTAACTTTAAACACTGTGAGATGAATGGATCTAGGTGTGAATGGGTGAGGGTTAAACTCTAACTTTAAACTCTGTGTGATGAGTGGATCTAGGTGTGAATGGGTGAGGGTTAGGGTTAGACTCTAACTTTAAACTCTGTGTGATGAATGGATCTAGGTGTGAATGGGTGAGGGTTAGGGTTAGACTCTAACTTTAAACACTGTGTGATGAATGGATCTAGGTGTGAATGGGTGAGGGTTAAACTCTAACTTTAAACTCTGTGTGATGAGTGGATCTAGGTGTGAATGGGTGAGGGTTAAACTCTAACTTTAAACTCTGTGTGATGAGTGGATCTAGGTGTGAATGGGTGAGGGTTAGACTCTAACTTTAAACTCTGTGTGATGAATGGATCTAGGTGTGAATGGGTGAGGGTTAGGGTTAGACTCTAACTTTAAACACTGTGTGATGAATGGATCTAGGTGTGAATGGGTGAGGGTTAAACTCTAACTTTAAACTCTGTGTGATGAGTGGATCTAGGTGTGAATGGGTGAGGGTTAAACTCTAACTTTAAACTCTGTGTGATGAGTGGATCTAGGTGTGAATGGGTTAGGGTTAGACTCTAACTTTAAACACTGTGAGATGAATGGATCTAGGTGTGAATGGGTGAGGGTTAAACTCTAACTTTAAACACTGTGTGATGAATGGATCTAGGTGTGAATGGGTGAGGGTTAGGGTTAGACTCTAACTTTAAACACTGTGTGATGAATGGATCTAGGTGTGAATGGGTGAGGGTTAGACTCTAACTTTAAACTCTGTGTGATGAGTGGATCTAGGTGTGAATGGGTGAGGGTTAGACTCTAACTTTAAACACTGTGAGATGAATGGATCTAGGTGTGAATGGGTGAGGGTTAAACTCTAACTTTAAACACTGTGTGATGAATGGATCTAGGTGTGAATGGGTGAGGGTTAGGGTTAGACTCTAACTTTAAACTCTGTGTGATGAATGGATCTAGGTGTGAATGGGTGAGGGTTAGACTCTAACTTTAAACTCTGTGTGATGAATGGATCTAGGTGTGAATGGGTGAGGGTTAGACTCTAACTTTAAAGACTGTGTGATGAATGGATCTAGGTGTGAATGGGTGAGGGTTAATTTCTAACTTTAAACTCTGTGTGATGAATGGATCTAGGTGTGAATGGGTGAGGGTTAAACTCTAACTTTAAACTCTGTGTGATGAGTGGATCTAGGTGTGAATGGGTGAGGGTTAAACTCTAACTTTAAACTCTGTGTGATGAATGGATCTAGGTGTGAATGGGTGAGGGTTAAACTCTAACTTTAAACTCTGTGTGATGAGTGGATCTAGGTGTGAATGGGTTAGGGTTAGACTCTAACTTTAAACTCTGTGTGATGAATGGATCTAGGTGTGAATGGGTGAGGGTTAAACTCTAACTTTAAACTCTGTGTGATGAGTGGATCTAGGTGTGAATGGGTGAGGGTTAAACTCTAACTTTAAACTCTGTGTGATGAGTGGATCTAGGTGTGAATGGGTGAGGGTTAAACTCTAACTTTAAACTCTGTGTGATGAGTGGATCTAGGTGTGAATGGGTTAGGGTTAGACTCTAACTTTAAACACTGTGTGATGAATGGATCTAGGTGTGAATGGGTGAGGGTTAAACTCTAACTTTAAACACTGTGTGATGAATGGATCTAGGTGTGAATGGGTGAGGGTTAGAGGTTAGACTCTAACTTTAAACTCTGTGTGATGAATGGATCTAGGTGTGAATGGGTGAGGGTTAAACTCTAACTTTAAACTCTGTGTGATGAGTGGATCTAGGTGTGA